GTTATATTTCTTACACACTTTAGGATGTCTGTTCTCAGAATATACAGTATAAAAATGCTGTCGGTTTCATTTGATTTTTTTTAATATGGATTTGATAGTCGTATTATAAAACCCCGATAGTCCGGCGATGCTCTTGCAGGATAAGTAGGGGAATACCTGGTGGCAAGACAGCTGTACTCTGAGTAAATATCCCAACAAACAATGTGAGCTGAATAAAAGCTGAATAAGCCATTTTTTAGCTGAAGAAGTATATTTTTGCCTGAACAAGCTCTTATTCAGCATTCAATGTTTGTTGGGATATTTGCAACGAGTAAATTTGAGTTACTCATATTTACTCAAAAATGATCAAAGTAGTCTCGATTTTTTTCGTTTGAAGCATCTGTTCGCCCATTAGAAAGATCGAATCGTTCGTTTAACAAATCGAATTGTGGACAAACGAAATGCTCCTGTGGTGGTTTGACTGCACGGCGGTTTTACGGGACTAGGACGATACAGGAGTGACGGGAGTGACCCGTTCCAAAAGGGGAATGCTCCTTTTCGGTTACCTGAGGTACAACCCCAACGAACAATGTGTGCTGATTAAAGGCTGAATAAGCAATTTTTTAGCTCAAGAAGCATATTTTTGTCTGAATAAGCTCTTATTCCACTTCCAATGTTTGTTGGGACCTGAGCTTTAAACTTCCTTTGTGGTCAATATAATTGGTCCTTGACTGCTGATTGTAGCATATTATGTAGTTTCTGATTCTAGGCCAGATTAGGTCAGCTCTGACCAGCTTCGTGGAGTTTGTTAAGGTTCAACAATTAAATTTGTATTCTTCTTGTTTTTGAAATATTCTTCAATCATCATCATTAGTATACACATATACACTGGAGTCGCTTTTTACGCGGTTTTTTTTACACGGTTTTTTTTACGCGGTTTTTTTTTTACGTGGATTTCGGAATTTACGCGTTTTTTTTTACGCGGATTCCGGAATTTACGCGGTTTTTTTTTACGCGGATTTTGGTTTTTTTTTTACGCGGATTTCAGAATTTACGCGGTATATCGCTTTTTACGCGGTTTTTTCTTACACGGTCTTTTTTTACTCGGTTTTTTTTACGTGGATTTCGGAATTTACGCGGTTTTTTTTACGCGGATTCCGGAATTTACGCGGTTTTTTTTACGCGGGACGTATCACCCGCGTAAAAAGCGACTCCAGTGTATTCACAATCGAATACACGAAACTCAAAACAACTGCACGGCGAATGAGAACGACCCAAATTTGAGTTTAGTTCACTCATAATCGCCAAAAGTGCAGGAACGCAGCGATGAGTTAAATTTGTCTCATGGTTTCTTGTGGAAAACCTAACAAATCTGCCGGAAAATGAGGAAATTGACGAAAATTTTATTCAGTCTCGGAGTAATACCAATAGACTGAGTGAATCCAATCTTTACTTTTCTCAAATTCGGGAATTTTTCCCTGGAAAAACATGAGGCAAATTTACTCATCGCTGAGTTCCTGCACTTTTGGCGATTATGAGTGAACTAAACTCAAATTTGGGTCGTTCTCATTCGCCGTGTGCTTCTCAAAACTCTTGGTGAACAAAATTGAACACCAAGAAAACCACTTCAACTTTAGCGCTTTGCCAGCAATCGTAAATGTATCATTGAAAAAGCGTTGCCAGGTGTATTACCAACAATCAATACGAAACTAACGATTTTAAATTGGCTCACCACTTTAGTAGCCTATTGGTCCCAAGCAAACGATTAACGTACCCTATTCTAGTTGAAATTCTATTACTACACTATGTTTGTTTTGATTCGCTATGAAAGTTTGACAGATAACATCAGGGGTGTGTGGATTCATGCAGAACATGCAGGGGTGAGTGAAATAGCTTGGGACTGCTTGGGACCGTTGTTCTGGTACTGAGTGAGCCAAAAATAATATTGATTTTCTTCGGGACCCAGTGGTCTTAGAGTTACCTCTATGTTGGGACCGTTGTTCTGGTACTGAGTGAGCCAAAAATAATAATGATTTTCTTCGGGACCCAGTGGTCTTAGAGTTACCTCTATGGTATTACCTCTAGTAATGAATTAAAGTTTATTAAAACAAGCAATTGTGAAGATTCATTAACATGGGTGAGTGGATGTATTTAATGGTGAATACATATAGAAGGATATTCCAAAATGAAGAAGTAAACAAATTATTTACCCTTTGTGGAACCTTAACATTAATAATCATGCCATGGTCAACAACACGGCCTCATATGTTTATTTCCTCAAGCACAACATTTCATGAAATATCAAACGTCTAATCCCTAAAGAATGATCGAGTAATATTATAAATTGAATGGAGCTTTCGATGAATTTATAGACAGCATAACATGCAAAAATCATTAGTTATCAAAAATGGGAAGGCACTGAATTCTTATCGTTTTGAAAATCGTGCAGCCTGCATGTACGCTATTATTTTTATATATTTGTGTAAATTAAGTTTTCATTGAGTTTCTGGAAGTTTAAAAAAAATATATAAACGTTAACTATATTGCTCTAAGAATTGAATTGATTTAGCCTAATCCGAACCTATCGAACCGTCTCAAAAGTCCCTACACAAAAATTCCAAGAAAGCACGTCAACTTACTTTGCTTGACAGCATCGGTATCAACATTATTTTCAATATAACAATCAGGTTGCTATGTGTATATAAGATATTGAACAATGTGAGTTACTCAGAGTTACTCAGAATTAACTCCGGTTTTACTCATGATCGAAAGCTGTCTTGCCCCCAGGGGAATACTGTACAGTCCAAGGGGTAATTATTCAGCACATTGTGGCGAAATTAGATTCGGCACAGCGTGGGCACATCCATCGGCTTACCTTCGGCACATATCGTAGGCATTGGATTTTTTTTTTTTTTTTTTTTTCTTTGGTTTGTTTTCCGTCGATCTTGTTTTCCGTGCTGAGCACCAATGCTACCGACGCCAGGAAGGCAGCTCCCACACCTGGACCCTACCTATCGACCCATCAACTCATGAACCGGGGACCAACGGCTTTACTTCCCTTCCGAAGGAAGACGTGATCAGAGATGTTATGCCTCAGAACATCCCGGCGGCGCCGACTGGGATTGAACCCAGGCCTGCTGGAGTGAGAGGTAATCACGCTTACCACTACACCACCGGCACCGCTATAGGCATTGGATTGTTATAAATAAAATGGGAGCACTGCTGGACATTTGTCATTGAAGTTGCTCACAACATTACGCGCTGTTTGACTTAAAGCCCTACAGTAAAAGCAAAAGTATGGACGTCTGTCAAAAGTTGTTCCAATCGAACCGTCAAAATGCACCGCTTTGCTCGATTGGAACAGCTTTTTTCAGTTTTGTGGTGACAGTCGTCCATACTTTTACTGTAGGGCTTTAGTTTGACTGTATATTACACTGAAACAAAGATAATAGTTAGGAATACTATTTTGCAGAAAACACTTATTTTCAGTATAACTACGCTTAATACCGTTAAATATACCATGATTTCAGTATAGTTGACTATAAATATAATCAAATTTACTACCATTATGTCAAAACAACTATGCTGACTCAAACGGTATAGTAGTTTTGATAGAAAAATTAGTCAAATTAAATGAATTTCGTTTCTGCACAAATCTATTGGTGGGAGTATTTAATTTAAACCATCAATATAGTATTTTTGCCAATGGATTTTGTTTCTGTGTAGGTTTTGCACCGTCGGGGTTAACCTCAATCTGATGACAGTTCAGTGGTACTGTTTACGTGGACTTAGTCGATTTTTTCTTGGGTGGATTTTCTCGATAATTTTTCAGACTGCAGTGAGATGTACACAGCATTTCTGCAATGTTCACGAGCAACATCCTTGCAACGCGCTGTTCCTCGACAATTTTCAAGTTAAAATTCAGAAACCTTAGAAAATTTTTTTCGAAAAAACGACTAAGTGCTTGTAAACAGTACCACTGAACTGTCAAAAAGATTCAGCCGGCTAACACTGAGTTCATTTGTGACGTCACGCTGCAGAACCTAATTCAGGAACATCCTCTCATTGAACAGACCAGCAGTTCACTTCTCGGTCCATTTATAGATCTAAATACGCAATGTAGGTTCTCGAGTGGACTCAAGAGAAAGAGGCAGATAATTAGACCCCATTAGCACCCTTAATTCGAATAATGCTGCAATTCACACAAAACAAACAACAGAAGTCATATTCATCATCCTCTATATTCGGTTTCTAACAATGTTCCCCACCGGTTCCAACTCTTTCCGGCCGCGCATAAACCGTTGCTTTTCACATCATGAAAGGCTAGGTTTTTGGACTGCCTTTGAGGGCATTATAAAACCCTTAAAACCTCGCTTAAAACGGCCGTTTATTATCTTAGAGCAACCGTAACGGTCGTTGTCATTTGCGCGACTATTTTACCAGCGCACAGCGCTCTCATTTTAGTTTAGTCACTCCTCTCCACACCGGTCGCTGCTATCGCGGTTATCAATTTACTCGCCGTAGTCCGTACCGATAGTGAGCATTTTGACATTTCATCAAATAGCAACCTTTCTCCCGCGCTGCTAAATTTGGTAACGCGCTTCTCACCGAGAAGCCGACTGCTATTTTAGTTACTCGTATGGCAACCCCCGATACGGTAGCTGCGCTATGATGAGGGCTGCTAAAATGAGTCTAGCAGCGTACCGTTACGGTTGCTCTTATGAACACAAAACACCACAATTTTGCACACCCGCCACTTCTCGTGTCATCCTTAATCCCATTTTTAAATGCGATTTCAAACCTAAACATTCAAGGTGTCAGAAATACCGGGTTACCGGGATGGATATTTTACAAACAATCGCAGCTTGCTCTATGCCCGGCACAATCGGCACATTGACAAAAAAGATGACCCAAGATTGGTGTGCAGAGTGATCTACCCCTTGGTACAGTCCCTAATATTTTGTTAATGGTTATTTTGCTTTACAACGTGTTTGGGGTATCATCCAAACCATTTGAGCAAAAGTTCTATTTGAGTTATCTTTCGTTTATGGTTTTTGTTTATTAGGAGTGAGCAGCGTAGCATATTAGCAGTGAAATCTGATATTGATATCGCACCATAGCTGCATTCGAGCTGAAGATCATCTAAACATCTAAAGTAGTAATTCTAAACAATACTGCTTGCCCCTCGCAGCGCCAGAAAGCCCGCGGTGAGATCCATCGGTAGGCTCCGGACCGTCTGGAACTCTTCCGCATTGTGGAAGTGCAGCTTGGTTTGCGGATCGGTGTACGGGGCAATCAGGCCGGATATGTCCGAGTACTTCTTGGCCGGCACGAACGAGGGTGGTGCGTTAACGGAGGAATCTGGAAATGAAATTAATGGAATTTTACTTTCAAAATATAAAATGCTAATTATGGAACAATTACAAGTCACATCTGTATCCTTCCAAGGAAGCGTGCGTTCGTAAGCCGTAATCTGCTTGAGGGACTTCCAGGTGCGCTTCTTGTTACCAGCGATAGAATTCGTTTGGGCCAAATTCATTCGTTTAAAAACCGGCATTTGATGGTCGCTCATTTTTCCGCAGGATCTGTTATCACCGAAGGACGATTTTTAAATGTTTCATTGGTTACAAACAAATTTCAGGGTTGTAGCAAAGCATAGCTCGTTGAGCATACACAAAACCGAACCGGTTCGATCAGCTGACTGTCATGTTGCATCCACCGACACAACTGCTAAACGAACGCAAGTGTCGTGAACTGTCGTGAAACGTCAAAACTTTTATTTCCATATCGCGATCCGTTCTTCGGAATTCTAACTGTGAAAAAACTAGTAATAATTGAATTAGCCGAAATTTGCAATTGATTGTGAGCTTTATCCACCAAGGGCACCGATTACCGGATGGGCCGTAAGTGATAAGCTTGTCAAGCGGCGATAGCAAGGTCGTGCGGAATGCTGTGAAAGCAAGAGTATTATGCTGTTTTGATTGGCTTCTTCCCCTTCACTGCTGGTGTTTGGCTGGGGCCGTGTTTTGAACGACGAAAGCGACGACGACGGCTGCTGATGGTAATGACGTGTTGTTTCTCGGTTGAGCACTATCGAAAGCAGCAACAGCAACAACAGAGCCAAAGACGACGACGACGAATGAAAATAGCGGTTCCTTATGAATACACTAACACAAGCCTGGGAGCAGCAAACAGTCGAAGATTGCAGCAGCAGCAGCAACAACTCTACGAAGAAGCTGAAAGCGGACGAAAAGCAACGGAGCAGTCGCCGCCGGATCAGTTCCAGTCTCGCACCGTGGGCAAAACAGGCGACTGTCGACGAGGCTACAACTTCCATCAATCCTCCGGGCCAGCACCAGCAAGAATCGTCCTCGAGCAATGCAGAAGGAGTGGAGCAATCAAGCCCATCGTCGCTGTTGACGAGACTTGCTGATGCTGATGATGACGACAGCAAGAAGCAAAACAATGTGAAAGACGACGTGGAACAAGAGCTACAATCGTCGAGTGATCTTGTGGTAAAGTATCACTACACGGGGGACGAATCCAGTGATAACGGTAGTAACAATCGAGGCAGAAGGTATAGCCGAATCAGCATGATTATTATCTACGGTCGGGAGGCGTTGTGCATTCTGGCACTCTTACTGACGACATATGCGTCCATTCAAAACAGGTAGGTTTGGTTTTCCATTTAATTCTGTGGAATTCCCTTCAGGCCAGACGATTATTTCCAGTCCTCCCCGAATATCGAAAGCACCACCGCCGGCACCGTTCTTCTCGAAAGGGTCTCTAGTGCACGATTGGCCCACGGGAGCTCTGGGACCCACTCAGACACGCGTCTCGCAGTCGGAGCTATCATTTGTGTTCTACTATGCACCGTGGTGCGCCGAAAGCCAACATGCCCGCTCGGTTTACGAACATGTCGCGCGGCTCTACTACCGGGAGGCTCACTTTGCCGCCATCAACTGTTGGCAGCCGGGAGGCGAGTGCCGGCTGCAGTACTCCAAAGTGCAATCCTGGCCGGTTCTGATGGCATATCAGCCGAACGGGATGGCCGTCCAGTTTCACCAGGCGTGGACCAATGCGGCGCTGTCCAGGTTTGTGCAATCGCTGATTAATCCCATCCAGCGGATGGTTGGTCCCGGCGATTTGATGAGCTTCATGACTGGAAAGGATGTAAGAGATATGCGCCGTGGCTTGCAGGTGGGACGTTGATAATCGGTTCAATCTTTCAGGCGGTGGTCGTCGCATTTATCGATGTGAATGTCAATCGTAAGCAATACAATCGGTTCTATCAAACGTCGCTCAAGTGGCTGGAGAAGGATCCCTTCCAGGAGGTGGCATTCGGCGCTGTAACGGGCGAGTCTTCCAGTGCATTTGGGGTTGAAGAGGTTCCGGCCATTCGGCTGTATCTGTGGAACGAGACAATTGTGAGTATTTTCTCGTTGGTCGTACTCGTGATCAATGGCAGAGATTTTAATTTGGAGGAGCCATAAATTGGTACACTGTTAAACATGTATACTTTCACAGGAATTCCCTGGGAACGATTCGTGGACTATGCCGGAGCTCACCACCTGGATCAACAAACAAATCCAAGTGGTGTCGATGTGGATCGCTCCCCCGGGGGCAACCAAGTCCTCTTCCCTGGCGCCATACTTCAACCAAGGGCCGGTGTTGTTCTTCTTTACACCGCGGTCCCTGTACGGGTCGTCTTCGGATGCCTACATGATGCTTCGGCAGCTCGGCATGCAGTACTACAACTGTCGAAACGACATCTGGGTGCAGGAGATGGCAAAAAAGTACATTGCCGAGCAGAGGCGTGTCAGTGCCGACGTCTACAGTCAGTTGAGCAAGGAGTGTGAGTTGATGCTGAAGCGTCACCCTTCGCAGGAAGATGAAAATCGAAGCGGAGCGGAGGGTGATTGCAGGGCTTCCAGTAAATCTGCGATTGCAGTTTCGTTTGTGAATGTGTTGAATTCGTCTAAGTTTGGTGAAGCGCGGAAGAAGAGCGATGGGTTCTGTGACATTGAGCAGGTCAAGTGCGACGAGCGATTCTATGAATGTGGAGATATCGAAGAATCGATGGAACTGGGAGCGAGTGAAAGTTGTGGGAAAAGGAAACGAAGTCATTTGTATGGGTCGATGAAGCATGATGGTCGGGAAGGGAAACCGGCGACTTCTATGCTGGATTCGGATCAGGACTATCGTGGGCCTAAGCTACTGAAGAGACTAAGTTTGAGAAGACAGTGCGAACTGCTGCGGTTGAGTGAAGAGGATAACAGTGAAGTCTTCTTTCAAGAGCCCACAGGGCCGGAAAATGTGTATGTGGATTTGGTAAAAGGAATGTCCTGTAAGTTCAACAAGACGTTGACTTTCTTGGGAATGGACAGCGATCTGTATCATGCATTTGCCGAACGACTTGGCGTGGATGTGCTGCACGAACCCAACAAGTCCATCGCTATCATTGTTGACCCGGAGGTAGGAACCATTTGCCAACAAAGTCAATATCTGTTTATCTCAATCCAATCTAAACCACTTTCAGGACGAATCTACCTATCTCCTAAGAAAGCAAGTTAATTTATCCAGTATGGCGAAGCTGGTTCACGACTTCTACAACGGCACCTATCCGCGGTTTCTGCGGTCGAACAATGTTTCGTTCAAAACTACTCATTCGTTCAATATGAGCGAGTTCCGGAAGGAACACCGCAGGATGATTGATGTTAAACGATCGGAAATGGTCACTAAGCTGCAGAAAGGTGGCGGCGAGAAGCAGAACGCTTCTCGAAATGAAATTAAAACGGAACGGAAACCGCCGGAAGAGGCGAGACCAACCGGCGAGCCTCAAGTGCAGCACCACAGGCATCATTTCGTGCGGGAGATCAATTCTCACAATTTCAATCACGTGGTGGTTAATTGCAATAAGGTAAAAAACTGTGAACCTTTCTGCTGTTGACAATTATTAATTGAAACTCACTTCCAGACTGTCGTCGTTCATTTCTACTCTGCTCAATGTGCCTTCTGCAGTGTGCTCTCGCAGCATCTGCTCATCATCTCGAAGATGCTCCAGCAGCAACCACTGCTAGAGTTTGTCCGCATCGATGGTGACAGGAACGACCTCCGGTGGGAGTACACTATGGATTCATTTCCAACTTTGATCATATTCCCCAACCAGAGGTAACAACACCTTTAACTCGGCTATTAGCCGTTTCGATACATTATTTTTATTTGCATATTCCAGAAAATCCGAGAGTCGTGTATTCTCCCGCAGTCTCCCGATAACCGTCCCCAACGTGCTCGGGTTTATTCTTTCCAATTTGAACCCACCCGAAAGGCTATATGCCACCACTCTGATATGCAACGACATGAAGGTAAGTTCGTTCCCATAATCGCGTTTCCAACTCTATAACAACCATATATTACTCACAGCCGAACTCGCCATCGCGTGACGATTGCTTGGGGGCAATGAAGCGGGAGCTGAGCGATAACATCTCGCTCAACCTACGCCTCTACCGGTTGGCCTCTAAACGTCCGACCTGGGCCGCCCGCATCCTGCGTCGTCTGCAAGCCCTGCAGGAGTTCTATCTGGCCACGCTCCGTTGTCTTAGTCATTCCTGTGATTTTAACCAGTTGAAGAGCAGTGCTAAAAACATCCACACCATGTGGCAAATTGCAACGTGAGAACGATAGTGCATTTAGCAAACTATTATGTTCCCCACCACCTTACTCTACTTTCCACAAGGATATTACCTATTTGTTTTTACTTAATCTTTTCGCCAAAGGCTTTAAAATCGTTTTACACAGGAATGTGTGTTATCTTTTTTTTTTACTTGTTGTTAATCCTGCTGGGTTCCTTTTCCGACTTTCCTTATTTTGGAGAAAATATTCTGAAATTACCCATTGAACTGAATTGAAATTCTCAGCTCAGAGAGGAAGCATTATGTAGCCAAATGAAATGATGAGAAAAAAAAAGCGTCAACAAATGTCAGAGAGATCTCGTTGTAGATATTTTTTTAACTCGCCTGTGAGCTAATTATTGCAAACAACAACATAAAACTACGGTCTAGATTTTAGGCAACTATAAAAGTGAAAGCTGAAAACTCCTAGAATTAACAGAAAAAGTAACGAGAGTGAAATGAAAAGAAGAAAAAAAAACAGTCAACTATATGCTACCTATCAAAATTTTGTTTTTAAGCATTTCACTGTCTACTGTAAATACCTAATTATCAGACATTTGGAAATGCCGAATAGGATGAAAAAAAACTACCCTGTTGCAGCGTAGAAAATTTCGTTTCGTCGTGATTACACTATTTAAGTTTTGTATTTCGCGCGATTTAAGAAAATGATGAAATCACGCTAATATATTTTGTTCGTAATCTGTGCAGCTGTATTTCTACTCGAAAGAAACCTTTTCTGATCATACATTTTCCAGGATTTATATTTTTCCCTTAACCCTTTGATTCCCAAAAGGTTTTTCGGTAAGCTAACTCGTTGTCACTCGTGAGGTGAATCTCCGTGAAGTCAAATGGAGAGTCTCCTCACTCGTGACAGCAAGTCATCTCACCTCACTCGCGGCGCAGATAGGCCTCAATGTGTTTTTGAAAAAAGTTCTAGGTCTTCCATTCAGTCTCAATCCGAATCACATAAAAAGTTTTTCTCAATAGTATTTTAATTGTTTTTCAATAGTTGGTTAGTTCAATTCTTAAGAATACAAATGAACGAAAATAATGAGCACACGGAGAAGCTTATGTAAGGACTGATTCGGACTAATAAAATAATTTCATTCGAAGTTGGAGCCAATTTAATTTTGAAAATTCGACCAATTTTGTTTCAAATAATCCCCCTTATTTTTTATTATTCTATTGTTGTCTAAATGAAGATTGATGGGGAAAAGTCTATTTCCAGCTGAACAATGCATTAGACCCTAAGTAACATTGGTCGATTCTCTTCGTCGGCTTTCTCTTTCGTTAATAACTTGAGCACATAACTTCGCATTATGGGAGACCTCGAACCACTCGATCCAGTCGCGCTAGCTGTTTCCCGCCATCAAAGTCGTTCTATTTCCTGCCATCAGAGTCGTTCTGGCCCTGCGGTCGAGTTCGGTGGTGGGGTCTCCCAAGCATCGTCTTCAGGCAAGTATGCATACATTAGTTACAGTCATTTCCAGTGCAACGCTTCAAGCACCTGCCGGCTGTTTCCAGTTGAGAAGCACTTCTGATACTGCTCATTCACAACATCCGCTTTATTGTTCGAACAATCCTAATTCATCTCCGGGACGCACAATAGACCGCTCTTTGGAAGCTCCTGGTTACTCCAGCCCAGGCGTGCCGATTCCCGCCAGCGTTCAGCATAGTCGTCCTGGACCTGTGGCTGGATATGAATCAGGAGTCTTCCACCTTGCCTCTACAAGCAAGTACAATCAATATACTATCTATTAACTGCCTGATGCCGATCAAACTTTCAGCAATTCTAACTATGTTAGTCATTGTGATGATGCCTCTGTAACTCCTAATCCTGGAAACCCGGAACGCGCCGTAGAAAGCCCCATGGAAGCCCCCAATCCGTCCGTCTCAGTCCTGCCATCAGCAACCTTCGTTCATCATAGTCGTTCCGGACCTGCTGTCGGATGCGGAGAGGGGGTCTTCCAACCCACTCACTATGGCGAGTATCCAATGAGACTTGATGATGGTCAGTTATTGCCTGATGTATCTGTGATTTCCAGGGAGAGCAGTCGTTCGATTCCTTGCCGCAAGCAGGACGTCGTGATCTTCTACCAAAACGCCGGTGGAATGAATTCTGATGTTGAAGAGTACCGCCTAGCTGTATCGGATCGTTGCTACGATATTATTGTCGTTACGATCGGAATCCTAACAACAGCCGTAAATCTACTGGTGGAGGTGTCCTTGTAGCTGTCCGTAGCGGGTTGGAGGCAAAGGCCATCGAGAACGATTCATGGAACTATGTGGAGCAGGTTTGGACAGCCATCAATCTGGGTGATCGCACACTATTTCTATGCGCTCTGTACATTCCACCTGATCGAGTCCACGACAATGAACTCATCGATACTCACTGTCGGTCAGTTTTCACAGTTGTCGGAAGTTCCACTCCAGTTGATGAGATATTCATTTTTGGTGACTTCAATCTGCCAGGCGTTTCGTGGAGTCCACCTCATAGCGGATTCCTGTATCCAGATCCTGATAGCTCTACATTTCACGCAGGAGCTATTAGCCTTCTCGACAACTACAGCGCAGCGACTCTTTCTCAAATTAACCATGTAGTTATCGAAAATGGTCGTAGTTTGGACCTCTGCTTCGTGAGCACACAGGACAGGGTTCCATCAATTTCCTCGGCTCCTTGTGCACTAACTAAGCTAGTTCCACATCACCCTCCTCTAATTGTCACTGTTGAGGACAAACTCGTGCGTGATTTCGGCGACTATACTGCTACGGTTTCTTATGACTTCCGTAAAGCTGACCACCGTAGCATCATAGATGTATTGCCTAGTATGGCATGGGAGAACATCCTTGATCCAGATGACGTTGAGGCTGCAGCGCAAACCTTTTCACATGTCTTGGCATATGTCATTGACAGACACGTCCCGAAAAGAACTCACCACAAAGTGTCTCACCCTCCCTGGCAAACGAGAGAGCTACGTAGGTTGAAGTCAATCAAGAGAGCAGCATTGAGAAGATTTACGAAAATTTACACTTCCTCTGAAACTACATTATGTGAGGCTGAATCACATGTACCAGCGAGTCAGTCGTGAATGCTTTTCAAGTTTCCAACGAGGCATCCAGCGCAAACTTAAGCTACACCCGAAATCCTTTTGGAACTACGTGAACGAGCAACGCATGGAATCCAGCCTCCCATCGTCTATGGAATTCAACGTAGAAGTTGCTGCCACTGTTCAGGATATATGCCACCTTTTTACCCTTCTTACAAAGAAGGGTATAGATATCACTTGAAAAACCGACTATCGATCCTAGGCCATTGCACCATACCATTCGACTCAGCTCGACGAGATCGGAACATGTCTGTGTGTGTGTGTACGTGTGTATGTGTGTCTGTGTGTGTGTATGTAACGAAATGAATGCGCTCACGTTTCTCAGCAACCGCTCAACCGATTTGGACAAACTTGGCGCCAAATGATAGGTCTTGGGGTCCCATTGAACACTATTGAACGGTTTTGGAATCGGTGAACCGGTTCCGGAGATATGGCCGGAATAAGATCCGGTGAATATGGGCCTTCACGCTGGATTTAACGGAAAACGTATCAAAACCATCATGCGACACATCAAATTACTACAGAATTCAAAAATAAGATCAATGCAAGTCGTGTTAAGTGTTCCAGACCACATTGGACACACTTGGACATTTTCCGGGTACCCCGGGGAAGTTGCTTGAATATAAATTGAATTAAAACCCATTTTTTTTTCATTTCGTTTATTTGGAAGGCTCAAATGTTATAAAAATAACTTAACGGAGCCGAGTACATAAAATACCAATTTTGGTACTCAAAATACAAAAAAAATATATATAAAAATGCATTTTATGATAGGATTTTTCTGGGTGGCGATCGAAGCGGCGACAAAGCGATCTTCTCCCGTGCACGCAACTTCTTTCTTTCCCGAATTTGTTCCTCATTTTCATTGAACCCGAATCGTGATCGCTGCTGCTGCTTCTGAACGTCGTTTCCCGTTGCATGCTCTCCGCTACTCTCGTCGGGGTCGTCACGTCCATTTCGTTATTTTCATTCAGCATCTCCAACCTCGTGTCCGTTTCCTGGTCGCTAATGACTAGCGACGCACCTTCCACCACTACACCAGCATACGTACTGCTGCTGTTTTGTTTTCTTTCACTTTGCTGCTTTCCTTTTTCCTTAGGTTGCTTCTCCGCTTCCTTCCCAGCCTTCCGCATGGGACAGGAAAGCTTCCGGTGTCCGTCCGCCTTGCACAGAAAACATTTATCTTTGTTGCCATCATAAAATATATTTCCTTTGCGATTGAAGAAATGTAATGACGTGGGGATTTCCTTCTTCACATCCATATATATACCGCGTATCCCTGTATATACCTCAAAACACAGATCAGATGGAAATTTCTCCCGGATGATGCGTTTAATTTTTCCATATTTCCCCAGCACTTTATCTAGCTCGTTGTCGGGTACCTCTGGTGGCAAGTCATACACACGCACATATTGAATGTATTCACCAGCATGCGACATGCGTACCTTTGCCGTCGTTCCATTCGCATAATGGAAGATTAAATCCTCCGAATTGAACGTCAGAGCATGGAGCATCGCTTCCTCTGATTTGAACTTGATGAATACTCCCCTTTCCTCACCAATGCGATAAACAGCTTCCATTTCACTTCGATCCGCGTCGAGTGCTTTGGCGAAATTTACAATCTCTCCGATGTTTGGTTTAGCATCATGGTGGCTGAAGCTAAACTTGATGGTGTTTTTTACTTCACACATCTTGCATTGTAGCAACAAAAGGCTCCGAACTGCTAGCAACGAACAAAGAGCAACTATATAATAGCGAGTCTCGAAAACAGGCTATCGCGTGGTTCACACCGAAATAAAAAATCGACTGCTGCTGTAGACAGCTGTGGGACAACTGAATTAAAACCCATTAAATCACATTAAAATACGATGATAAGGTGATTGGTAGCCTCACCAAATAGACTACACCCGGATATATTCCGGGTACCCCCAGGTAGTGGCGTAGCGTCACTGGATGACACGGGGGTGGGGGCTTGGTCACTGATAATGACAATAAAATAAATAAACTTGAATATGTAAGAAGGGTCTGATCACACCATAGGTGGATAAATTCGGGTTTTCCGAAAAGTTTGCCAGTGTATTCACTAATGAGACACTAACTGACGACCGTATTAACCTGGCTGCCAGGAACGTTCCAGTTAACGATCAAACGCTGGGGGCAATTGATGTTAATGCAGAAATGATTTCTAAGGCCGCGACTCTGCTCAAGTCATCTTTCAATCCTGGACCTGATGGAGTTCCGTCTGTATTTTTGAAGAGACATATTGCTAGCTTGTTAATTCCGCTTCTTCGCCTGTTCCGAATGTCTCTCTCAGGTGGCATTTTTTTTATCTTGCTGGAAATTTGCGCACATGTTTCCCGTTTACAAAAAGGAAGGAAACGAGCTGTGGATAACTATCGAGGAATTACATCGTTAAGTGCCGTTTCGAAGCTATTCGAGCTAGTCATTATGGAACCGTTGCTGCCCCATTGCAAGCAGTATTTGAGTGCTGATCACCATGGTTTTACCATAGAGGTAACTCTAAGACTAGAAGGTCCCGAAATAACGTGCTCAAATTTTTGGCTCAGCTCTGGTACTCTCTTCGGTCCCAAGCTAATCGATTCACCCCTCGAAACATAGGAAAAACGAATAACCCCTCATTTCATCTGTCAAACTTTCATAGCGAATCAAAACAAACATTGCGTAGTACTAGAATTTCGACTAGAATGGGATACGTTAATCGTTTGCTTGGGACCAATAGGCTAGTCAAGTAGTGAGCCAATTTAAAATCGTTAGTTTCTTACTGATTGTTGGTTTTACTGTCGGCCGCTCTACAACTACCAATCTGCTGTGTCTCACATCGTATATAACCGAAAGCATGTCGGATCGGGTTCAAACGGACGTTATTTATTCAGACCTATCCGCAGCATTCGACAAGTTGAACCATGGTATTGCGATTGCTAAACTCGGCAGGCTCGATGTATGCGGTAATCTTCTGAGTTGGTTTCGATCATATCTTACCGGTCGGCAACTAAAAGTTGCCATAGGAGATTGCAGATCAGCTAGCTTCTTCACCACATCAGGTATACCTCAGGGAAGCCACATGGGACCGTTAATTTTTATACTGTACTTCAACGACGTGCATCTGGTCATCAAAGCTCCTCGGTTATCATATGCAGATGACCTCAAAATCTTCCTACGAATCTGCTCCATTGCTGACTGTCACTTTCTTCAACGTCAACTGAATGTATTCGCTAGTTGGTGCAGGTTAAACAGAATGGTAGTGAACCCAGCCAAATGCTCCGCTATTACCTGAGTACTGCGCAGTAAATCGATTTCATTTTGCAAGCCAATGGAAAACTGCTTGAAAATTTGTTCAAGTTTAAAATTGTTTTGTTCTTTCTAAGTTGATTCCCGCCATAAGCTTTGAGCCAGGAGTGCTCGAGCCCCCATGACCATTGGATTTTAAAATGGCGTCAGACCTTGATTTCCGGTATTTATACGTCATCCAGATTCCAAAAATACCCATATTGAAGGATATTTGGCATCATTTCCCAGTTTTAATCTAACCAGAAGCCACCATCTTGGATTTAAAAACGGCGTCAGACATTGATTTCCGGTATATATGCGTCATTGGGGCCTCCCTTAGCTCAGTCGGTAAAAGCGCAGCTACAAAGCAAGACCATGCTGGAGGTGGCTGGGTTCGATTCCCGGTACGGTCTAGGAATTTTTCGGGTAGGAAAATTTCTCGACTTTCCTGGGCATAGAAGTATGATTGGACTTGCCACACAATTATACCAATGCAAAAATGGTACAGGCATCGAAAGCTCTCAATTAATAACTGTGGAAGTGCATCTAGAACACTAAGTTGAGAGCACGCAATAAGCTAATATGCGATATGCAATAAGCTTGAAATGCGAAGAAGAAGAAGAAGATGCGTCATCCTGATTCCAGAAATACCCATATTGAATTATATTTGGCATTATTTTCCAGCTTTTAATGTTTTTATATAACCGGAAGCCGCCATCTTGGATTTTAAAATGGCGTCATACCTTGATTTCCGGTATTTATACGTCATCCAGATTCCAAAAATACCCATATTGAAGGATATTTGGCATTATTTCCCAGTTTTTCTATAAAGGGAAGCCGCCATCTTGGATTTAAAAATGGCGTCAGACTTTGATATCCGGTATATATACGTCATCTTGATTTCAAAAATACCCATAGTGAAGGATATTTGGCATTATTTCCCAGTTTTAATCCAACCAGAAGCCGCCATCTTGGATTTCAAAATGGCGTCAGACATTGATTTCCGGTCTCAAGACGTCATCCTGATTCCAAAAATAGACATATTGGAGGATATTTGGCTTTATATCCCAGCTTTCCTACAACCGGAAGCCGCCATCTTGGATTTCAAAATGGCGTCAGACATTGATTTCCGGTCTCAAGACGTCATCCTGATTCCAAAAATAGACATATTGGAGGATATTTGGCTTTATATCCCAGCTTTCCTACAACCGGAAGCCGCCATCTTGGATTTCAAAATGGCGTCAGACATTGATTTCCGGTATTTATACGTCATCCTGATTTCAAAAATACCCATAGTGAAGGATATTTGGCGTTATATCCCAGTTTTTCTGCAACCGGAAGCCGCCATCTTGGATTTCAAAATGGCGTCAGACATCGATTTCTGGTATATTTAAGTCATTCTGATTCCAAAAATACCCATATTGAATGATTTTTGGCATTATTTCCCAGTTTTAATATAACCGGAGGCCACCATCTTGGATTTCAAAATGGCGGCAGACATTGATTTCCGGTCTCAAGACGTCACCCTGATTCCGGAAATACTCATTTTGAAAGGTATTTGACAGGTGTTTAAAGGTGTTTAAGGCTCTGAACCATTTGGTGGATTATTTTAACTTTTGGTTAAAATTTGACAGATGGAAAGTTATCGATTAACCCTGCTATCCGAGCGTGGTTATTTCTGACAGACAAGAAGTTAAATTTTGACGACCGTGGCTCGAAAACCGGTCGATCGACAGCACGGGGATTTTCGAACATAAGAAATAACTTTCGAAATGTCACTTTTAACTACGAGTTAAATTTAACTCGGAAAATGGTTCACAGCCTAAATTTTTTTCTATAACCGGAAGCCGCTATCTTGGATTTCAAGGTGGCGTTGGTTGAAGATTTCCGATCTCCACGTCACACCGATTCTGGAAATACCCACATTGCGTAATACATCATTTGAATTCACAATTTTTCTGTATTCAAAAACCGCTATTTCGACTTGACACTGCATAATATTATTCATCAAATACAATTTCTGTTTAGTTATCTGCCATCACTGGCAATTCTGAATAATGCGCACCACGCACATAAACACACAACAGTACCGGATCGGTTCTTGAATTCAAAACATCATCCTTGTGAACACAGAACACCGGTACTGGAAAATCAGAACCGCACCGTGTGCAGCGAACTGGTGAACACGGTGCGGTGTTACTTGCAACTACCAAACCGAATCGACAGCAGCACCATACACTCGGTACAACAGATCAGCACATTGGTTATGCTTTAGAAAACCGTACCGGTGCTGTACCGGTGTTTTGCCCATCACTGCTTCCTACCTGCGGGAAGTTCCGTCAAGGTCCACGTATTGTTCCGGCGTAGCGAATCCATCTCCTCTTCAATAGCCGCTCTCCAACTGTCCCAATCGTCACGCCGTTTCAGCTCCACAATCGAGCTCGGAATATTGTCAACGTTATTCATAGCGTTTAATACGAATCCAGCGTAATCAAAATCTCTATGCCACGCCGGTGGAACACACTATCTCGTTGCAGTCTTGCTTCCTCTAGGTAACCATCCGCTGTTCGACTCTCGGAATCAGCGGACTCCTCAGAAAGTTCTTTATTATATGGCAAGCTTTCATAATCGTCCACAGATGACGTTGCATCATCACCAAATGGTGAGCGATCAACCGAGCCTTACGCTCGCTCATGTGAGCATGCGCAATGCGTCGTTTGTTCGATTTGCGCTCTATCTTTGTGTCCGTGTTTGGGATTTTTCGTTACATGTCATTTTTTTTAATCAATTATTATAATATATAATCAAAAATTATAGACCCCCCTCCCCTTGTGTAAACAATTGTCCATACTATTTTTTTTAATTTGTATGGACCGTGGACAGTTACCAACCCCCTCCGCCTTAAACTGTTTACATAGTTTATGAACAACCCCTTCGAGGTAATGGCATGCTCTCCGACGATGATTTCTGTCTTCTGCGCCACTTTGCAGTTACTGACAAATAGCGCTGCCGGTTTGTGATAGGTCTTCGCTCCTTGCATTTGTTTCTCTACCGTTTGGATTACCTCGGTTGCTAGCATTTCAACATCTTCTCACTTGTCATCTTTTACCATTAAGCTGGGTTAAGACAGGGCAACTCAAACGCGAATTGAACGTGTAAACCTTGCCGTTCAACTGACTTGATCAACTCACCTGAATTGGAAAAAGTTGAACCTGGCTCAACTTTTCAAGCCAATTGAATTCAACTTAGTTGATCAAATGACTTGCCTAGCCTAAACTCAGTTTTAAGGTAACGTCATCTGCAAGGCCAACAATCTTAAGCGCCGTTTAAGCGAGGGGGCGACACATCTAAATCTTCGAAAAACCTTCTATCATTTTTCGCATCTACTTGCATCATATTTTTGCAGGATATCTTCATCGTCATCAATCTTCTTTCTATCTACGTGCAGCTAACCACAGCAAAACAAAATCTTCCCTACATCGCTGATAGAGTCGCCCCCCTCATTCAAGAGTGCTAGATCAAGAATGGAGCCTTGTGAAACTACAAACATATTTCGGTTTCAAACATAAACCACCATCTTTTCCAAAATAGCACATGAAAGCACTTTATTACAATATACCAAAATGTTAACTTAAGAAATGTTCATATTACGTTACTTTCTACGAAATAAATTGATCACGAATCGGTTACAAAGTCTAAAGTTCACTGTGTAAGTTTTTCATAAGAATCGTACTGCTCTTAAATCTATCACAAACAAGTGCTAGGTCACTGCCTGCATTCTTTTCTCGATCTGCATCTGCATGCTTGGTCGCCTTTTCGCCAGGAAAAAGAAGACCACGATTCACATTTGGAAGATCCGTTTCGGAAAAGTGGCAGTGTTTCGATATCTTTCCAGCATCAAATCCTAACCTACAAAATGTCTAGCGTTTATAATATCTTTTGAAACATTGTCGTGCTGTAGTTTATAAGTTTAATGTTTTAGGAATATATTCGTTCTCATAGGATAAGTCTTATCGGGATTTTTCATATAATCTTCTTCAAAATTGGCTCACAAAATCTAGAGTTTAACGATTAATTTGTACCACGTTACACTGTCATCGGATTTTTAAAAAAATAATCAAAAGCTATGCTCGTACAGCAGATAGCTCTGCAGTTCCTTCGGGATGAACAGGGATGGTACAAACTCGGGTAGACTGCGGCCAAACAGCCTTCGGAAGTGCGCACGCAGGCGGGACTTGAGCGGCATAGGGATGGTGGCACGTTCCAACAGAAGCATCCGCTGTTCGTCATTCAGTTGCTGGCTACGGCGCATCATGCAGGGATCGAATTCTTCGGCTGCCTCCAGGATTATCCGGAACGAGTCCGACTTCGGGTCCATACCGGTTAGGCAGTTGAGCACGCCCTCGGGATCACGGAATTGGGTCTTCAGGATGACCTGTTGAAGGACGAGAATGTAGTTTAACGAGTGTGGATATCCAAGGTGGTGGTACAAGAAACCTACCCGAGATCCGTACTTCATGAGTAATCGAAGTTCTTCCGGTTTCACATCGTCGTTGCTGGCAATCAGTTCGGCAATTGGGGGTCTCAAAACGGCATTCGTAGCTATGTCTCCAATGACACGGATGTTCGGATCGGCACCGTAGGACAAGAGCATCTGTGGAAATAATCAATGATTTGAAGATTTGGGGAAAATAAATCTTAAGAAGGACCGTACCTTCATGATTTCTACTCTGTGGGGGATGTTATCGGCGCAGGCTACGTGCAGAGGTGATCCGATGATGGGACTGCAACGATTCACGTTGGCGCCATTTTCCAGCAGTATCCGTACCAGAGTGGGATCGCCTCGTAGCACCGCCAAATCCAGAGGACTGGGTCTGTCCGGTTCCGGGAGTGGTGCAGGAATGTCCACTCTAGCACCCTGTTTGATGAGCAGTGTGACCAAGGAGGCATTTCCTATGGAGTAGAAGAAATTTCCTTTCGTTAAAAGTATTTGGTCGTCAGTAGTCAAGGGTCAAGTTCTAAAACTTCGGAAGCGTTTGCTCATCAAAGGAAGCGAATAAGTCATCAATTTTGAACAAAAGTACAAGTCTAGGACCGTCGTCGACTTGACATTGAAACATACCATCAGCAAGATGGAGCCCTAATGTGTTACAGATAGCACATATAGCATAGATCAGTATTAGTTTATCAAATGCAAAGCGCATAAAAAAAATGAACTGCATTATTACCTGAGAGGACAGCATAGTGTAGCACAGTTCGATAATCATTCCGGGCATCGGTCATGGCATTTACATTCGCACCGTACTGAAGCAACAGTAGAACAGAATCGAAGTTTCCGTTGGTGCGAACCGCTCGCATCAACGGAGTAATTCCAGATCGGTCTCGGGCCTCCGTATTCGCTCCAAACTTGAGCAGCAGTTCCAAACTTTCGATATCGGTGGCCAAGTTGATTTCCGAACCAAAAAAGTATCGCTTATTGGGATCGGCTCCACGCTCCAGCAGTAGCCGGGCTACTTCGTAGTGCCGATTCCGGAGAGCCAGGCGAAGTGGTTCATCACAAAGCGTCGTCCTGGGATATGGATCATCGGTAGGTTCACGGTAGTCGACTTTGGCTCCACCGTTCAGTAAAATTTTGGCCAAATCTTTAAAGCCATGTTCTGCCGCCAGATGCAGCGCACTGTAGCCAACTTCGTCGATGGCATTAACTTCGGCATTGCGCACCAGAAGCAAATTGACGGCAGCTTCGTTGTTCTGCCACACGGCATAGTGCAGGGGGCGCAGTCCCTGGGTGACCTGTTCGTTGACTTTGGCTCCGCAAGCCAACAGGATACGGAGCTCATCCATCGGGACCATCCGGATGATGGCATCGGCGAGGGCCCTCTGCAGAGGGTTGGCCGCGCACTCGGCCGGCATGGTGATGACACGTCCTGGGGGAGGAAAGCAAAGGGAGAATAGTGTCAATCGTTTGTAGACTGGAGAAATGTGGGAGCGCTGTTCTATGGAGTTATATTATAATTTTTTCAAACGGGTCACAGATTTTGTTTGTCAAACATCAAAAACTGTCGGCACTGGTGATTGAGTGCTTTCCGGTTGACCCATATCCAGCTGACCATACATGAGCTCATTCGAATTGGAGGACTGACCGCTTTTCCGGTTGATAAGGATCTTCCGGAGGAGTGTCACAAAGCTGATTCCGCCGTACAATTCGATCAAACACAGTCAAACTAGTACCTTATGAACGAGTAGAGGAAATCAAAAACGTAAAATTAATATGCATCTTGGCGAGATTCACTTCAATATAATGCCTATCAGATTTTTAGCATGGCTGTTTCTTAAAATTCTTTAAACTTTTACAGAGTTTCCTCAACTACCGACTCCTGGAGCTGCGGAACTTCGTGTTGGAAGCACCATTGAATTATTTTAAGTTCTCTGAGCTATTTTGGCGTCCCACAAAATTTCCCAAAGTTTACTGAACATCTCTAAAGTTACTTCATTTTTTTCAAAGTATTTTCCAAAACTCCCTAAGCAAAGTTGCTTTTTAATCTCTTATGAAACTGAAACTTTGTTTTTATCTTTGAATCTCTAGGACGGTATTTGATCTTCTTGGGAGCACCCGAAAACTTCCCTGAATTTCATTAAAGTTTTTATAATTTAATTGAAATTACCAGAACTTTTTCAAAATTTCTTTAACATCCTGAAACTTTGCTAAAATTCCTGAAATTTCTCGAAAATTCCATATAGCATCTTAAATTTTTTACAATGTATGCTGAATTTCCCCTAAAGTTCCCTGAATATTTACAAAGTCCCCTAAACCAAAGTGCTCTGGACTTTTTTTTTTTAAATTTATGTCCTATTTTGAAAGGTGCTTTGAGATTTTCTTGAATTTCTTCAAATTTGTTTGAAAACCTATTAGTGTTTCTTTAATTTTTCTGTTACACTTTTTTACCCTTATTTTTTATTGTGTAAGGCTCAGTGTCTTATAAAGCTCTAGGGAACCGAGGTAATAATAATGAATTGTAATTGAGTTCTTGATTTTGTTTCCTAATACTGTGTTTGTCTTCGTTACATTCTTATCAAACTGTTTTTGCCGTTGTTGGTGCTCAGTCGCCACGTCCAAAGTCGAAAAAAAAATTAATCGAGTTAAAACAGAATACAAAAAAAAAACAAAAAGAAGACAGATTCTAGTTTGTTGGCCTTTGTACAAGATGACAATGAAATCATGGGAAAAAGTGACCAATTTTGCAAACCAAACATGCCCAAAATGTTCATTACCTCGAAACAGACCCAATGCAAAATTTGGGCTCAATGGGACATGATTTGGGGGTGGCACAAAATCGTCAAAGTTTAAAATATTTTCATCCGAAAAATCTCCCAAGGTGAAACAACGAGATCCAAAACCAGTTGGAGAAAACAAAATTCGGATGCCTTAAATGGCGAATGAAATGCTTCTGTGGCATGTCGACTCGTCGGTGGTTTTATACCGTCGACAGACTAAGACTAGTAGGTCCCGAAGAAACTCACTACTTGACTAGCCTATTGGTCCCAAGCAAATCTATTAACGTACCCCATTCTAGTCGAAATTCTACTACTACCTAATGCTTGATTTGATTCGCTATGAAAGTTTGACAGATAAAATGAGGGGTTAGTGGATTTTCCTATGTTTCGAGGGGTGAATTGATTAGCTTGGGACCGATGATAGTACCAGAGCTGAGCCAAAAAGTTGAGCACGTTTCTTCGGGACCTTCTGGTCTTAGAGTTACCTCTATGCTGCAATCATAGAGGTAACTCTAAGACCAGAAGGTCCCGAAGAAACGAGCTCAGCTTTTTGGCTCAGCTCTGGTACTATCTTCGGTCCCAAGCTAATCGATGCACCCCTAGAAACATAGGAAAATCCACGAAGTTCTCATTTTATCTGTCAAACTTTCATAGCGAATCAAAACAAACATAGTGTAGTACTAGAATTCTTACTAGAATAGGGTACGTTAATCGATTTGCTTGGGACCAATACGCTAGTCAAGTAGTGAGCCAATTTAAAATCGTTAGTTTCGTATTGATTGTTGCTACAATCATGTCTGTCATAGGCATTAAACAAAAATTTCTCGAGCATAAAAACACATCTGCGCAAACTAATAATGCCATTCGATAAAGGATGATTGTTTTTTCAGGTGTTGGTGTAAGATTGCGTGGATGTGTTTGAGTATCGAGCAATTTGCGTTTAAAGCTATTTTTAACGTTTTGTTGTTTCGCCTATTTTAATTGTTGGTCTAGAATGCTCTACTCATTGCTGCTTTAGGATCTATCTTGTTCAACGAAGCCAGATCAATTTGAAGAAAAACGTACCAAATGCTATTCAGGATCAGTGCTGAGATTTTCCTTTGTCATTGACAGACTTTGTGCGATATTGAAAAAAAATGTTTTTTTTTTTCACTTAGTCACTGACAGACTTGATCATAAAAAAAACCTTTGTCAAAATCTCATTAATTTTTTCGTCAATGACAAAGATTAACCTGCTAACAAAAAGTATAATTTCGTGCATTCTGCGTCACATTATTGTTATCCAAGCAGTTCAGGGCGTAGATGCTTGTTCACTTTAACGGTTCCATGTAATTGTGTTGCTCAAGTCATTTAATATCGTTCCAAATTTAGTTAATAAAAATTGTCATTGACAATTGACATGGTGTGCCTTGACGATGACTGTAAGCTCAAATGAGTGACCGAAGCAGAATTGTCAATTTCACCGTGTATTGTAGAGTTTTTGCAGCACTGGCCCAGGATACATAAAACTCTGGAGTGATTGGTGGCGGTCCGGCAGGCGTGATTCACTCACTCCGGTGGCAGAAACGTCATCCACAAACATTTTGCTTGAAGCCACAGTTGTTGATTCTTTGGCTCGATTGCAAAAATAAGATCTTTTAACGCATACATTTCGTCAATGCACATAGCATAAAAAATGTAGGCTACAGTGCTGACACCACTAATGGTGGTGGCTTCAGCAACCCTCCTTCTTGGCAGAGGATTGGATTTACTTTGATCATGCCGATGCATTTTAGGTTGCTGGGTAAAGTATGTGACAAGAAATTTCTTTAAGATAATAGCGAAGACAACAAATCAAGAAGACTGGCAACTCTTCTATTTTCTCATACGAACGCTATGAGACAGGTACAATCGCGTCATCTGCCGCTCAAAGGTATATGCTTCGAACGAATTTGATAGCAAAGATTACATCCTCAGACGAAGGGTTTGTGTATTTGCGCATTTTACTATGCGTTGCTTCCACCTTCACTCAAGCGCAGCGCTACTGTATCTGTCGCTTGGATTCTGGCAAAGTTGCCAGTCTTTTTGATTTGTTGTCTTCGATAATAGGCAGCTAGATATTACAATGTCTGATATAATTTGGTATTTAGCCGGTGATAGCGAGAGCTTATAAAAACAAAGAAGTTTCGTCTTCAGTCAACGTACCTACTTCTGATTATTTTATTTCACCTATTCTTTTACATCATTTCCAGCGAACCCCACACGTATCAATATATTGACGCGAAGGGGAACTATTGACAACAATATTGATGATGTGAATACAGAAATATTGTCAATATCGATGTATTGACGCCAATATTGAATGTATTAACAATACGATTATTGGCAATAAAAGCAATAGTTTCGGGTCCACTTCAGTCGAGTCGAGGCCCAAGATATACGCTCTCTTACCATAGAGGTAACTCTAAGACTAGTAGCATAGAGGTAACTCTAAGACCAGAAGGTCCCGAAGAAACGTGCTCAACTTTTTAGCTCAGCTCTGGTACTATCTTCAGTCCCAAGCTAATCGATGCACCCCTCGAAACAGGAAAATCCACGAACCCCTCATTTTATCTGACAAACTTTCATACACGGTTAGAAAAAAGTACTCAAAGGTAAGTTCTTTTCACTCATCTCGGCACTATAGTGCAGGAACCCAAAAGTAGGTAAAGCGGGTACAAATAGTTTTCATTTACTTGTGTGCAATTCGAATGGAATTTTCCACTCACTTTCTACCCAAAAGTAAGTTAGTTGTACCCAAAAGTAGGTAAATATGATAATACTCAACGTTGGGTTCCCACACTTTACTACCCCTGTTGGGGCAAACTAGTCAATAGTAGGTAAAAGTGAACTGGCCGTTGGGTAATTTTTTCTTACCGTGTAGCGAATCAAAACAAACATAGTTTAGTACTAGAATTTCGACTATAATGGGGTACGTTAATCGATTTGCTTGGGACCAATAGGCAAGTCAAGTAGTGAGCCAATTTAAAATCGTTAGTTTCCGCTGGTTGCTCTTACTCTCTCGACTCTCATTCATTCGAAGGTAACGGTCTGTTTTGCCTCAATACAAAACATCGAAATGGCATTGCTTACTGCACCGTAACAATGTCGTAAAAGAAGATTATTTCAAAGATGCTGTACTGCAGATTGATCAATGATCACGCATCTCATCGTCAGCATAATTCAACGAATCACGAACGAGATATCGAACTTGTTGTTAGTGTTTTCCGTGGACTTGAGGGTGAGTATTTTGGACTGGTCAGCAATTGGCTGGGTGTCGTTGAAGAGTAAACAATACATTTGACACCGTCTTCAATCAGAGGTTGCACAACACACAACAACCAGTAGGACCAGTAGGGAAAATTTCGGGTTGTGATCAGTTCCACCGGCTGGAGCGGGAATCAAACCCTCACTTTGTGACACTCGCAATACGCCTGAACGACGGGTGACGCCACTAACCGCACGACCACGAAACCCAACCTTAATCAAACAAGTCCTAGTGATTTGCCAACCAGTCCAAAACACTCACCCTTAAGTCAATCATTAACAAGTTCGATATCACCCAATTACTCCTATCGTCTCCAAGCTATTCATCGACGCAAACCAACAACGGTGCATCGTATTTTCCAACATA